TATTATTGTTCACTGTATAGGTCTGCCTAGTGTTTAGATATAAGGTGATCTCCAGCAATTTGACTCAGTTCTAAGTTTGAAGGGTGTCTAAGGGCCATAGTCTTGGGGGTCCCACCAGTTTTTATCAGACTAGTTAAGCTGGGTCTTTATGAATTTGAATTTTGTTCTACTCTATCTGGGACGTTTTGTTGTAATCCTAATCAGAGTGTAAAATTGTTATATATTTTTGATTAATTGAAACTTTTTTCAACATGTAACATCTTCATTATCTCTTGTAATGTTTTTGAACTTTATTTTTTTTTAGTCCGATAATAATATAGTAACCCCAGCTCTTTTTGTTGACTATATACACGAAATTCTTTTCCATCTTTTTACTTTCAATCTCTTGTATGTCCTTTGTATTTAAAGTCAGTCTCTTATAGATAGCATATAGATAGGTTATGTTTTTAAATCCATTTTGCCAATCTCTATCTTTCAACTAGAAAGTTTTATCCATTTACATTTAATCACCAAGTACCTTGTTAGGTAATTCTGTCATTTAATTTTTAAATTTTCTATATGTCTCCTATTTTCTGTTCCTAAATTCCTTCATTATTTTATAAAAAAATATTTAGCTGAAAAAAATATTTAGCTGATTTCTGATAGTATAAAATTTTCTTATTTCCTTTTCTATTTTATTAGTTATTTTTCTTAATGGTTACCTTGGGGATTGCAACTGATATCTGAAACTTTTAACCATCTATTTTGAATAATACCAACTTAGTTTCAATTAATACATAAACATTCTGCTTCTATATATCTCCAGCCCAACTTTATATTGTTGTTGTCACAGATTACATCTTTATACAAGGTATGTGCAATGACACAGATTTAGAATTATTATGTGTTTGCCTTTAAAATCATATACGAAACAAGAAGAGTTACAAACGGAAAAAATATTTGCTTTTATATCATTCTATTGTTGCTGTTAGGAGCTCTGGTAGCGTAGTGGTTACGAATTGGGCTGCGAACCTTAAGGTCAGCGGTTCGAAACTACCAGCTGCTCCGCGGGAGAAAGATGAGGCTTTCTACTCCCGTAAAGATTTACACCCTCGGAAACCTTGTACAGGGTCGCTATGGGTCGGACCCGACTCGATGGCACTTAACAACAACAACAACAATTGTTGCTGTTGTTGGTGAGTGCCTGTGAATCGGTTCCAACCCATAGTGACCCTAAATAGGGTTTCCAAGGAGCAGCTGGTGAGCTTGAATTGCTGACCTTGCAGTTCAAAGTGACTCTGTAGTCCAGTGTGTTAACCCACAGCTCCAAATCAGTCTTCCTTATTTATATGTCTTTGAGTTACTATGTAATATCCTTTCATTTGAATTTGAAGGACCCCTTTAATATTTCTGGTAGTAACAAACTTTCTTAGTTTTTCATTCTTAAAGAATAATTTTATCAGATACATAATTTTGGGATGGCAGTTTTATCCTTTGAGCACTTTAAATATGTCATTCTCACTGCCATCTGGCCTCCATGGCTTCTGATGAGAAATCAGCTATTAATCTTATTGAAAAATGTTTGTGCATAAAGAGTCACTTCTCTCTTGCTGCTTTAACATTCTCTGTCTTTTGACAGTTTGACTCAAATATGTCTCCACGTGGATCTTTTAAATTTTATCCTGTTTAGAATTCATTGAGCTTCTTCAATGTGTAGATTTATGTCATTCACGAAATTATTTCTTCAAATATTTTTCTGCTCCATTTTCTCCTTGTTCTGGAACTACTGTAGTGTATGTGTTGGTCCACTTTATAGTGTCCCACAGGTCCATTAGGCTCTGTTCCCTTTCTTTATTCTTTTTACTTTCTGCTCTTCAGGGGGTATAATTTTAGTTGTCTTATCTTCAAGTTCATTGATTCTTTCTTCTGCATCTCCAAATCTGCTGTAAACCTCTGAAGTAATCTTTCTCATTTCAATTACTGTATTTTTGATTTCTAAAATGTGTTTGGTTCCTTTTCAGAAATTCTGTCTCTTATTGACATTCTCATGTTTTTCATACATCATTTGCTTATTTCCTTTAGTTTTTTTTGCCCATAGTTGCTTTTAGCAATTTGGGTATATTTAAGATAGTTGTTTTCAAGTCTTTGTCTAATAAATCCAATGTCTACGCTTTCTCAGGAGCGCTTTTTGTTATTTTGTTCCTTGAATAGGTTATAATTTCATGTTTCTGTGTATACCTTATGATTTTTTGTTGAAAACTAGACTTTTGAACATTATAATATGCAAACTCTGGAAACCAGATAATTCCCTTTTCCCCAGGATTTGCTGTTCTTGATTGTTGAAAATTTATGTTCAGTCAGTGTTTTGACTGAGATTTTCTTGAACAAAAGTAGCTTAAAAACAACAATAACAAAACCAAAAACTTATCCTAGTCTTTTTGTGCATTGGCTTTGCTCTTGAAGGCTCCTTAATATTTAGGCAGGCTATTTACAAATCTGACAGTGTTTTCTTCCTACTTGGACTTAGCCTAGAGATCAGTCAGTGGTAAAAGTTTGGGGTCTTCGCAGGTCTTTTCTGAACACACATCTTGTCCTGGACACGAACATGACTTTTTAAATTCCCCCACTATACACAAGTGCTTTTAAATGCCTTATTTTTCCAAAGAAACTTTCTTCTTGGTTTTTCTTCTGAGGCTTTAAGCTGTCTATTTTATGTCTCAGCTGTGAATTTTTGCGCAGATGGCTGCAGGTTTTTCTGCCTTGAAATGTTTTTGAGCAATGTCTGCTACTTTCCTGTTAGACAAAACAGAAGACCACAATAATTTGAAAACAAAGTCTGCTCTGCTTCCTCTGGAGCCAGGGACTCACACTGGGCACATGGACCGCCTTTGCAGATTGTCATCTTCAAGCTGAGTTAGGAAGGTGGGGCCAGGCCAAGTGAAAATACCACAAAACATTCCTACTGCTTTTAAATTGTCTTTTTCTTGATCAGCATTTGCTTGACTGCTGGAAACCTTTTCCGAAGTTCTGAAAAGTTGGTTCTGAGTTTCTGGTAGTTTTTTCAGTGTTTCTGTGGAAGGATGACATTTTTAAGCTGCCTACATCATTTTGAAGACCAAAGATATGGATTTTATTTCAAGTTTTTTACTATTGTAATAAACACTTCAGGTACCTTTCTTCTGTACGTCTCCTTATATACTTGCATGCAATAACATGTTGCCAAAATGCTCCCCAAAGCAGTTGTATCAAGTACACTCTGACCTGCAACAGACAGATGATACCTCTTGTTTCTCTGTAGGCTCACCATTACTTTACATTGCCAGGAAATATTAAATTCTTGTAGTATGGGCATGGCTAGTATTTCACTGAAATTTCTATTTTCGTTTCCCTAGTTAATGGGGATGCTGCTCATCTCTCTGACTGATCAGTTCTGCCTGCTTTGGGGAGTCACTCTGGCTGAGAACAAAGAACGGAAGCTAGCCCTGGGGTCAGTAGGGGGAAAAGGTCAACTTCTCTCTTTGTCCCTAGCAGCTATAATATCACAGCTTGGGTCTTCCAGTAAAAATGGGCCAGTTTTACTCCAATTCAGTTAGTGTGCAAGTACAATGTATTCAATGGGTATTTGGTGAGTGCCTGCAATGGGTCAGCCCTGTCCTGTATGAGGGGCTGGTGGTCCAATGAGGAGAATGGGTAGAAGAAATAGCAAGGAACATACATCAAGGAGTGGTGGATGAGAGTGTATTTTTTTCGGGGACCATATAATGGTGTATCTTTTGGGTTAATGAACCTATGCAGGGTCACTGGTTCCAGGCCCTTGGGAATAACTGTCCTCTTTCCCTGGCACACAGGTAACAGAAACCTGGGTGGCTGGAACCTGGGCAGACTTAAAAGTGGGCAGAAGAATTCAAATTAGATGTTGCTTACATACTGAAATATTTAAATGTGAAATGGTAAGACGACTGCGATTTGCTTCAGTATAATACAGAGGTGGGGGCCGACAGAAGAAAATTGACGAGAACTAGATAGCTGCTGAAATGATGATGGCTTACTAAGTTGCTCTCTCTACTTATATGTTTGAGGTTTACCTTGATAAAAAGCTAAAAACAAAACAGAAAACTCAACCCTTCCTCCCTTGTTGTATCTCTCTTCTAGGGAAAGAGAGTAAACATTTCCACCGCTACAACTTTGCAGCAACACTGTTCCCCCCCCCACCCCCCATTCTCTCTCTCCTCCAAATGCCCCTATCTCTTCACCAACCCAACACCCTCCAAGTCTGTACCACCCATCTCTGCTCTGCTCCTTTCTGGAGGTTATCACTGCTGGGGGAGGGGAAGCTTTCCTTCCATGGTGACCTGCCCTCTCCCCAACAGCCATGCCTCATCCAGAGGGCTCGCAATGTACTGGGAGATCAACCACTGGCCCTCCAGGGCTGGACCTGAGGGACTGTCCTGCCTCCCATCTTATCAACCCAGGGCAGAAGTCCTCAGTGCCCACCAGGGTCCCTACTGAGAAGGGGCTCTCTGTGTGATGTTTTAGGCAAAGACAGCCCTGGCATGGGGAGAGAGTTCTCGAGATTCCTCAGTTTGTGGGATCAGCTCTGTTAGAGTCTAGTTCTGTGTGATACCCATCTCTCCAGGTGTATGGAAGAAGACACCACAAAAATGCACAGACTCACAGCAAAGTTCTTAGTGATACAACCAGGCAAGTCTGAAATATGGCTCACAGTGATTTAGCTCTGGGACCCTGAGCTCTAATGAAATCTCATGTAGAAGCCCAGGGCACTCTGGAGCCCGGCACATGTACTGAGTGGTTGTCTGACCAACACCTTTCACCTCTGTGGTGGCCTATACTGGGTCTTCAAGGACTCTAAAGACTCTTCCAGAGTGTAAAGAGACCCAAGTCTGCAGTCTACATGGTTATCTGGCTGAGAGGCAGGAAGAGAAATTAGGTTTGTGAAACCCAGGCAGCAAACCCACACACCTTCCCCACAGTGGGGTGCCTGTTCACAAGCCTCTTAGTACCTCAGCATCATACTTTTCATTGATGGCAGGCTCAGTGGTGACCAGTTTCATCCTGCTGGCAAACCGCAGTGAAGATAGCTGAAAACAGACCAGACAGACATTAGTGAGTTCTCCACTCTCCTAAACTTTTGAGATTCCTCCAGTAGCCCTTCTGGAGTCTACAGGTTCAGCTCTGGGCAGAGATCCCAAAATGTGTGGGCACAAACTTCCGAGGCTAGCAGGTACCTGGAGGTCTGCTTGTGCTGTGACCATCTTGTGTGTGTGTGTGGTGACTGGAAGAGAAGGGACAGTTTCCACTGTCGTAGAGCACATCTTTCTTTTTTTTTTAATTGAAGTTTTTACTGTGAAATGAATGATAGTTTACATGGAAGAACATCGGCTTTACACCATCTTTTCATTGAAATGATTATAATCTCCTCTGTGCATCATCAATTAACAGCATTTGCTTCCACTCCCTGTTTCGTTTTTGTGGTTTTTTTTGGTGGGGGGATATACACAGAAATACTCAGGAATATTAGTAATTTAAACAACCAAAGGGCACATTCTGCAAGCCTACTTCCTGGCCTCAAGCACCCACTCCCTCTCCTTCCATGAGTGCCGAGTCCTCAGCTGCTCCCTCTCTCCATGTTCTCATCTCTGCCTCCATCTCTGGTGTCATTGCTTCTCTGGATAGGATCTTGCATTCCGCTTGTCCCTTGATGGTGCTAGAGTCCTCTGTTTCTGGACTGTAAGATTAACTACTCCCCTGTTTTTGTTACAAAACTTCTACCATTACAGTTGTGACAGTCACAATTTATCATGATAACAATTACTCACTATTGAATCATAAGAATCTTATCCCCATCTCTTTTTAGCAGACCTGTCTAGACAAGATGAAAACTATTCAGTGGGGACTCTACCTTACCCCACACACTCTTAAACTAAATTCCCTCTTGAAACTTGTAAGATAGTCACTTTGTGCCTTTATTGCCCCCTTCATTTTAGGTAGCCAATGTCTAAGTTGCCCATCCCTAGCTACCCTGTATACAGAGGGAATAGCACTGATACTTAATGTGAAGACTCTTTCCCTCTCAGTTGGTATTTTGAGCTACTACATTCATAAATGAAGTCCTGGTGTGGTACTGTGGGTTAATGCGCCAGACTGCAAAGCCGTTTGAACTGCAAGGTTGGCAGTTCAAGCTAACCAGCTGATCCTCAAAAACCCTATACAGGGTCACTATGGATCGGAATCGACTCGACAGCACTTCACAACAACAACATCCATAAGTATAGGTTAAGTTCATCAAATTGTAGCAATGTACACTCGTTTTCTTTATCACAATTTTTTTTTTAATCTTCCTCTAGTCAAGTTTTGATTATCAAGCCATCCACACTAGGTCAAATGGGTGCTATCTGCAAGTTTGGGCATTCCCAATTGGGAAAGCTTCCCCTCCTCTCACTTCATATCAGCTGGATGCTTCACTCTCAGCTCTAGTTCTTTGTGGAGGACATTTTTCTTAAGGCAGCCAGGATGCCCAAGTTTCTCATGGCCCTCTTGGGGTTCAACTGTGCTTTGTTATAAGATGAAAGTAGGAGACGCCTGAGCCTTGCCTTCAGGGATACTGTTTGCGTCAGCTGCAGCTCCCCTCTGTGGCTGTCCAAATCCCAAGTGACTGGGTGTGTGTCAGGAACACTCCCCCTAGAAACTGGAATGTCCCCAATGCTTGCAGTTGGGCGGCCCCACAGGATTGTCTTACCCTACAACATTCCTGGAAATGATCTGTTTCATGTCAGTAAATATTTCAGGTAACTGAAACTTACCCTACACCCCCATACTTGAAAAGTAACATTTCTAAGGAGAGCTTGCCAAACTGTCTTATAAATGAGGGGTGACACTTGAGAGAAAAGAGCAAGAAGGGAGCCCCAGTTGGAAGGTGCCCATCTGCGTTACTGCCTCAGCTCTGAGTCTAGCCCTTACTCTTGTCTGACTCTCACAAGTTTCTCCCTTACTCACAACTCTGTCCACAGTCCTCCCCTACTCAACCTGTGTTATAGACCCTGACCCCCTGCAGGAGAAGTCAGGTCAACAGGGCCCATACACCTCCTGCAGTGTCTTCTCTTCTCTCCTCTCCTTTCCTGACCTTCCTCTGTAGTAGGCTGGGATGCTCCTAAAATGGGCCATGCTTAAGGGTCCACCATCTTCTCTGCTAGGAATCTGCATGCAATCCTACCATCAATCCTTTAACCCCAGCCTGCCTGCCCCCACCCAGACTACAGGAATAATCCCCAACTCCTCTGAAGGGCTCCTTCCTCCGGGTCTCTCACATTAAACAGAGCCATGGTTATCTCCCTTCTGGGGCTGGGTACTCTGGGGCCCAAGGACATGTGCGAGTCATTTCTACCAAGCTGCTCCTCACCACTTTACACATGGCAGATGACTAATACCTATCTGCTCACACAGTTGTTATAATCATGGCCTGGAAGCAAGTGGTTATTTCAAGACATTTACCATATGTTAATTATCATTTACAAGGAATCATCCCTCCTGCTCTATCCTCATGACCCATGGAGCAGCACCTCAAGAAACATTAGTCCTTGCCCCCAACAAAGCCACTCTCAGGCCCCCCAGTTCTTGCCTAATTCCCAACTTTGCCATCTGCCTCCACAGACCTTCCAGAGTTTTGAAGCAACTTAGTGTTTGGGTCTTGACTCTGGGCCTCTCTCAGCAATTCTGGCCATGACTCAGCCCTCTGGATGCCTCCACTCTTGACAATGTTTATGGTTAATGTGCCAGGTTAACAAGCCTGGAGTCAACCTTACCTGGTCATCATAGTACCCATGAGTAAGGATTCCAACCTAATCATATTGGTTAGCTTTTTTTTTTTTTTAACTTTTTATAGTGAATTCAGTAAAGGTTTATAGAACAGATCACGAGTTTTACATTCAACAAATCATATACTGTGCTTCGTTACAATGATAGAAATTGTAATAACTGATGAATTCATGGACCATCAGTTAACAGTATTTATCTCTATTCACTTTAACTCTTGCATTGCTCTCTGTGTTTCCTACTACCTCCGTCTTTCCTCTGCCAACCTCCCTCTTTTAGTATATTGCTTGCCCCATTGGTTAGCTTTTACATACCGTCTCTTCTAACTGAGAGGCTTCTCCATAGATGTTTGTCACAAGCACCATATTGCAGTTTCCCCCTGCAGGAAACAGTACACAGAAGGGTTGTGAACCATGTGAATTTTCTGCCAAGAGACACCCATGAGGCAAGTGGGATTCAGAGAGGGCATACTCAAGCATGAATGAGGTTGGGATACAAGGTGGAGCAAGAATAAAGGGAGAGAGAAGACCACAGGTACCCAAAAGAGGGGAGAACAACAGAAGAGAGATATTGTGGATCAGGGAGGGACAGGGTTCGGGGAGAGGGTGTGAGTTAAGGTTGGCTCTCAGTTGACAAACCAATCCCATGTTATCAGACCCAACACAAAAGGCTGGGAGGCTACAGGGGACAGAAGGGTATCACAGGAGAGGCCCTCTGCCCAGGACTTCAAGGCTTGAAGAATTCTGCCAGCTTTGAGAACAAGGGGAGAAGGGAAGGTATTCTTGGCAAAGGCAAAGACTCAGGCAAAGGTCTTGAGAAGTGAACAGCATTGTGGCATGGTCTATGCATAAAAGGAGGACAGTGTACTTGATTCTGCATGTCAAGTACATGTAAAAGTCGTTGTAAAAGGGCTGTAGGTCAGTCTGTGTTAACAGGGAGGGTGAGATTCCATTACCACCAATAGCTGCAGTGCCAGGTCTGTTCCTTGTTGGGGCTCAGACCTTCCTCCCTGGGCATCAACCACACCCTCACCTAACGAGTCCTTCAGAGCGTGGGTGAGCTTGCACTGCCGGAAGGGGATGTGGTCCCTCCTCTGGTCCCCGAGGGCAATGATGGCCTGCTCCAGGAATGACAGCGATTTGTTGATGTAGGTGGCTTCCTTCAGGACTCGACCCTCCGACTATAAACCAATGGTTTCAGTAAGAATGGCTCTCCTGGTTTAGGGTGATGCTGCAGAGGTCTATGGCCAGGCCAGAGCATCCTTTACTAACCCATGGTCTTCCTTAAATGTCACGGGATTGTATCCCATATTGGGCTGATAATGGTAAAACTAATACTCACAGGAATACTCATGTGAATGTTTATAAGAATATGAACATTTATATTAATATTCATGTGACTACTCTGAAAGTCATAATAATATGACTATAGACAGGAGTACTTACTTATGCAGATACTTGTGCAAATACTCTTGTGACTATTTATACAAATACCTTCATATGAAAGTATATACAAATGCTCATCTGAATGCTCTCATGAATACTTAAGCTAATACTGATACTTACACAAATATTCATGTGAATACTCTTATTTATATGCAGAAGAAACACTCGTATTAGCACAGAGTATTTACTAAGCACTCACTGAGTGTCACAAACCTTGCAAAAAGTTATGGACATTATCTCAATGAATCTTGACAAAAATCCTGTTAGGTAGGAATGGCCCCTATGCATCAGATATTCCACCCTCTGCTTTTTCTGTACCTCTTGCTCCTCAAGGTCAAGACCACATGCTTCTCTGCTGCTTTGTTCATAACTGTCCAATGAGAGATGGCCCATATGTGTAGGCACTAGGTCAGAAATAGGGCCCATGGCTTGTTGAGAAAGAACCCCTGCTTCCCTCACTTACCCCAGACTTCCCCAGTCTCTCTGAGCCTGCTAGATCCACCAAGTTGATTTTGGAAGTAATATACTTTTCATCTGATAAGGTCCGAGAATGGGCCTAAGAAACACTCAAAGTGAGGTAAGTTGGCCCCACCCCACAGCCACACCCCTCCCAGGTTATGCCAACAACATGCACCTACTTCCATGTAGATGGTGAAAATGCAGTGTGACCTGGAAGAGTTTTTGTTCATTGTGTGAGAGGCTATAATTCTGTTGGTCTCCCCCTGAAGAGCAAGAAAAGTATACACAACATTTTGAAAGATTAAAATAGCAAGGTGTTTGCATCATCAGTAGCTACACATACGACCTCATATAAATACAATTAGGTGGGCAATCCAGGTAAACCTTTTTTATAAGCTAGAAGAAAGGGCAGATAAAACAAGTAAAAATAAATTAAAAATTGTAAACAGATGGAACAAAGAGAAAGCATACAGCATATGACAAAATTTAAATATATTCATGACATGAACTATAAGTGGAACAAAGTCTTAATAAAGACCATCAGAGTAGATTTTTTAAAAATCCTTCTAATATACTCTTTACAGAGTCCTGGTGTCGCACTGTAGGAAAAACACTCAACCACAAGGTTGTTTTGAATCTCAAGGTCAAGTCAGTGGTTCAAACTCACCAGTTGCTCCTTGGAAACCCAACTTGACAGAACTTAACGACAACAACATACTCTTTACACAAAAAGCAACAATATGTTTATAAATATTCATCGAACTTAAAATAAAAAATTTTGTTTGTCAAATGCCATGTAAAAAAGATAAGTCACAGAATATAGAAGATATTTTCAACACTGTTGTTAAGTGCTGTTGAGTTGGTTCTGACTTAAACCCCTTGTATGGGGTTTCTGAGGGACAGCTGGTGTATTTGAACTGCCAACATTGTAATTCAGTGCGTATCCTAAAGCACCAAACCAGGACTATTTGCAACATATATAACTGAAAAAAAAATGGTTTTCAGAATATACAGGTAAAGCAAAAAATAATTATTGCTATTAGGGTTCCAGTTCACACATGTTCATACATGAACAGATTTATTCCAAACAAAATGCGTTTAAACATGTCTCTTTGATCAGTGGATGACTGCAGAAAAGTTCTCTTAATAATAAACTTGTCTTAGTCTCGTTGTTGTTGTTGTTGTTAAGTGCCGTTGAGTCTGATCCGATCCATAGCAACCTTATACAGGGTTTCTGAGGAGCGACTGGTGAGCTTGAACCGCTAACCTTGCAGTTCAAATGGTTTTGCAGTCTGGCACATTAACCCACAGTGCCAAACCAGGACACCGTTCTTAGTCTCATAAGAATACCATAAAAAAAAAAAAAGATACTAAAAAAAGTGTTTCATGAAGATTAGTTAGCTCAAAGAGTTGATCTACCTGTCAGTATTTTAAGCTAGACAGAAGCTAATGAAGATGACTTTATGAAACAAATCGCAACCGGGATGAGTCTTGGATTTACTAATATGATCCAGAGAGCAAGGTCCAATCCAAATAGAGGCTCTCAAGGGGATTTGCCAGCCAGTGAAAAGTCAAGGCACAGAAGTCAGATCAGAAAGTTATGGTGACTAGCTTTTTTGTGGGGATTCCAAAGAGGTAATTGTGATAGGTTTTCTCAGAGGACACAGGATGATCACTGGGGCTTATCATGAAGTTTTAAGGAAATTAAAAACTGAACTGGAGAAAAAGTCCAGGAACATTGCACTGAGGCATATTTTTTTCATCAAGATAATGCACCTGCTTATTAATGGAAGGTAGCAATGCCTGTCCTATGAGAATTTCATTGGGAAACTGTATCCCATCTATAGCCCTGATATTGCCCTTTATACATCTTACTTCTTTTTGTCCCCCAAAGTCAAAGAACATCAAAAAGGAGTATTATTTGAGCCCCTTGAGGTTTCCAAAACTGCCATCTTGAATGGTGTAAATTGAAGAGCTGAGAATTCTTTTTTGGGGGTTTTGCTGGGGATAGGGTAGAGATGGAAACACCACACTCAGAAGTGTATGGACCCACATAAAGGATATGTGAAGAAACAAAAGCTCCATATTTTGATATCTTTGTTTAATAAAGGCTGCAATAATTTTGTAGCAATACATTTTGACCTACTTTTGTATATGAACAAGTAGTTCATAACAGAACAAATTCAAATGGACCATATATGAAAAGGTACTTAATCTCATTTGTCTTAAGAAAAATGCAAATCAAAATAATAGTGGGATATCACTATACACTGATGAAATTGGTCAATTTAAAGTCATCATTGGAATTCTAATAACCTGTTGGTGGTAATGTACCATGTTGGAAAATAGTTGGAATCATCAGGAAAGCTGAACATACTCTATGACCCAGCAATTTCAGTCTTCAGGTTTACTTAGAGAAATCTATGTTTATGTGCACCAAGATATAATACAAGCAAGTTTCTAGCAGTATTATTTGTATTATCACCAAACTAGGAAAACCCAAACATGTATCAGAAGTAGAATGAACTAAATTTTAGTATGTTTATACAGTGGAACACAATAATGAAAATGAATAAAAATTACACCAACAGCATGGATTGATTTAAAACAAGACATAATAGAATTCATTCTACATGGTTCCTTTAGTATATAGTTTAAAAATATTGAACTATGCTGTTTAAGAAAGTACGTATAGATGATAAAGGAGAGTGTGTGTTGTAGCTGAAGCTCTTATACTCAAGGGATAGTCCTCGCCTCCATTTTCTTCACCCATTAAATGAAACATTAAATGAAACCTGGAAGGTCTGCATTTTAAGGACTCCTCTTTGGGCTCTCAAGGTTGGTCTGAACTTGGCAGTTCAAAGTCACCAGCCACTCCTCGGAAACCCTATACAGGGTCTCTATGAATCAGACTGAACTCCACAGCACTTAACAACAGTAGCAATTTGGGCTCTCCGAAATTTACACATCTTATAACTTTATTTCTTCAGTTTGTTTCTAAAGGAAATAGGTTAGGACTTAGTGAATGATTTTCACTAGTTGTTGTTAAAAGCCATCAAGTCAGTTCTGACTCATAGCTACCTTGTATAGGGTTTCTGAGGAGTGGTTGGTTCTTTTGAACCAACGACCTTGTGGTTCAAAATAACTTTTACTACAGCGCCACACCAGGACTCCACTAGACAGCAGGATAATATCTAGATCTCTTTAAAAAAAAAAAAAGGGGGGGGGAACGAAAGGGAACTGATTTAAGTTAATTTTTTTAGCCTAATTCCAAAGTATAAAAAATGCTCTAGGAAGGAACAATGAGAATCCAAAGCTAAAGAAACTTTTTTTTTATGATTTGTAGCTACCTATTGTTCCTGATTTGGTTCCGTGTGAGGATTAAGCCCTTAATCTAGTCTTGCAATTATTCAAATGACTGAAATTAAAATAAAAAATACTTTTTGTAATAGTAATAAAAATTGTCATCATCCCTTTTGAAAAAAAAATAAAAGAAAACCAAGGAAATGATTACCATAAAAGTTAGTAAAGTGGTTACTTCTAGGGAATATGAATACATATTTATTCAAGATAAAAAATTCTTCACAAAACAATTTGGAACAGAAGAAAATTTCCTTACACCTCTCTCAGCCACTAAAAACATATAGCAAACATCATTCATGGTAAAATATTGTTGTTGTTAAGTGCTATCAAGTTGTTTCCAACTACTAGGTTCCTGGTAAGTTTGAACCACGGACCTTGCGGTTCAAACTGACCCCGAAGTAAAATATTAGGAGCAACAATAAGGCAAAAATGCCCAATCACTGCTACATAGGAAGCTCTTCCTCTCCTGGAGATGCAAGAAAACCAATCTGAAATCACCCTGAGGACGTTAATGTGATTTTCTTCTTTATTTTTTAAAATTTTATTGAAGTATGGCTTAAATACCATAAAAATTCACTGTTTCAAGATTTAATAATGATTTAGTAAACGTCTACAGCTGTGTAATCACCACCATAATCCTGTTTTAGGACTGTTGCATCACCCTGTAATGTTCCCTTGGGCTCATCTGCAGTCACTTCCACTCCCTCCCCTAGGCAACTGCAGATATGCTTTCTGTCTCTGTAGATTCGGCTATTCTGGACAGTTCATATGCATGAAACAAGATGTGGTCTTTTGTGACTGTCTTATTTTACTAAGCATAATGTTTTTGACGTTGACCCATGATGTAGTTTACCCATCAGTACTCCAATCGTTTTACTGTCAAATAGTTTCCCACTGTATTCTAGTTTAAGGATATTTGATTTATTTCCCATTTTTTGAATAATGATGCTATGAATAGCCATATAGTGTGGACATAGGCCTTCATTTCTCTTGGGTGGATACCTAGGTGTGCTAGGTTAAAACACACACACACACACACACACACACACACACACTATCCCTGGTGGCACAGTGGCTAAAGCAATCTGTTATTAACTAAAAGGTCACCAGTTCAAATTCACTAGTCTCTTAGCAGGGCAAAGATGTGGTAGTTTGTTACTGTACTATGAAGTCTTGGAAACCCTATGGGGGTAATCCCATTCTGTTCTATAAGGTTGCTGAGCTGGAAGTGACTTGATGGCACTGGGTTTTAATGATAAAATTTATGTTTAGCTTTTTAAGACAACTGCCAAAGTGACTGAGCCAATTTACATTCCTTCCAGAACCATGTAAGAGTTCCTGCCTATATGACTTTTCAAAGAATAACATACACTGAGCATTTTGCTTTGTTTTGTAAACTAGGAGCCTTGGTGATGCAATAGAGAGCTCTGGTGGCACAGTGGTTAAGTGCTCAGCTACTGACAGAAGGTAGTTCAAAACCACCAGTTATTCAGCATGAGAAAGATGTGCTTCTGTAAATATTTAAAGGCTTGGAGGCTCTACAGGGCAGTTCTACTTTTTCGTTCTGCTGTTGATAAGGTTGCTATGAGTCGGTACCAACTCGATGGCACCTAACAACAACAACTCTGTTCTATAGTATAACAATGAGTAGGAATTTGATTTGTGGCAACCGGTTATTTTTGGGTTGGTGTTGCAGTAGTTGTTAAAATGCTTAGCTGCTAACCGAAAGGTTAACCAGCCACTCTTCATGAGAAAGATGCGGCAGTTGGCTTTCATAAAGATTTACAGCCTGGAAAACTCAGGGCAGTTCTACTCTGTTCTATATTGTTGCTATGAATTGGAATCAACTTAATGGCAACAGGTTTGATTTTGGGTAATTTAAAATTTTCTATTGATTTGTAAGAGTTCTTGACATATTAAGGACATTAATCCTTTTTTTAATATTAAAAATGCTCAAGATTAAATGCTAATTAAAAATTAAGACATAAGAACAATTTCAAGTGTGTATATTTAAAAAAACTGCACAGGAAAAAAAGACTGAAAGGAAATGAGTCAAAATATTATTATTGCCTCATGTAGAAAATAGATTATAGGTGAATTATTTTTTGTTTCTATGGTTTTTGGAATTATCTAAACTCTTTAAATATGCATATCTTAATTCTCATTCTGATTATCAAAATACATAAAACACTAAGAGGAAGAAGGGAGGGAAGGTGGAGGAAAATGAGAAAGAGATAAAGGAAGGCATATAGATGTTATTGTTGTTGTTAAGCGCCATTGAGTTCGTTCTGACCCATAGTGATGCTGTATAGGGTTTCTGAGGAATAGCTGGTGAGCTTGAACTACCGACCTTGCAGTTCAAATGGCTTTGCAGTCTGGAGCATTAACCCACAGCACCACACCAGGACTCCATTAAGCATACAAATAGATACAGGCATATATCAGAGATATTGTGAGATTGGTTCCAGATCAATGCAATAAAGCTAATATTGCAATATAGCAAGTCACACAAATTCTTTGTTTTCCTAGTGCATAAAAGTTAGTTTATACTACACTATAGTCTGTTAAGTATACAATAACATTGTTGTTGTTGTTATGTGCCATGATAATAACATTATGAAGTTTGAAATATTGTGAGACTTGCATCTAGCAAATCTATTGGTACCATTGTTTTCCATGTGATAGAGACACAAAGTGAGCACATGCTGTGGGGAAAACAATGGTACCAATAGATCTGCTAGAAGCAGCATGGCCACAAACCTTCAATGTGTAAAAAAAAATGCAGTGTCTGCCAAGAGCAATATAGCAAAGCACAAAAAACTGAGATATGCTCATAGATATAGATAGGAGAAAAGAGAAGAGAGAGAACAAACTTTAGACTTCATCATCTCACCTCAAAAAGGAGGCTAAATGCATCTTCCTCCTGACTGGTGAGATGGACTGACAAGCCCTTAATGAAGACCCCTTGTGGGTTTTCCACGATGGTCATTGGAGTGTCTGTGGGTCCAACATAGGGCAGTGTAGACAGGAGATCAAACAGGGTCTCGTTATAGATTTCCAGGTAGGAAACGTGCACAGTAATGGCATGGGTGGGGCGTTCTTCAATCATCCTGAACACCTAGATAGGAGATTAGAAGACAGTCATCAAGAGTGAAACTCCAACAAATAGTGTTACAGAAGTTCTTACCTCAGGAGGGAACCTCGACAGGTCTAAGATAATTCTGGTTCTAAAACAATGTACAATCTAGTTGGTGCAGTTGTCATCATCAAGAATTATTAAAATAATTATCGGTCCACCAAGAGATATCTAAGGAGCTCTGGTAGCATAGTGCTTACAAGTCGGGCTGCTAATCTCAAGGTCAGCAGGGCGAGACTACCAGCGGTTCCATGGGAGAAAGATGAGGTTTCCTGTTCCTGTAAAGATTTACAACTTCAGAAACCCTATGTAGGGTCGCTGTGAGTTGTAACCTACTCCATGGCACATAACTACCACCACCACCACCATCAAGAGATCTATTATCATTTTGCAGGATTTAAAAAAAAAAAAAAAACATTTTGTAGACTTTTAGAGCCCTGACTTACAGACTGGTAAATACAGACTGATCTTGCACAGGCCCAAGAAGTAGAGCCATGAGCGGAGAGGACCCTCAAGTACAGATCTCTCATTTATCTGGGGACTCACCACTCATCAGCGTCTTTCATATCCATTATGTAATTCCATACTCACACCTCCCTGCAAGGAACAAAGGGCAGGGACAATATCTATTGTGGAAGGTTCCATCTAAAAAAGGTATTTGTTTATAGTCCCTCAGATAGTAAGGGCAGAAGCCAAGCCAGAATTCAACTTTCTTGACTCCTAGTAGCCTCTCTCAGTACTTACAAAGTATCATCATGCGATTATGGTCTAGCCCTGTCTTCTCTCTGAACCTTAATTTTCTTACCTATTAAATGGGGAGTTGGCTGTCTTGTACTATAGGTCCCTCCATGCTCTACCAGTCTAGACCCATGCTGTTAGATATGGGCTATATTAGCCCCGGGTAGCTACTAAGTACATGAAATGTGGCTAGTATGTGTGAGAGACTGGATTTTAATTGTCTTTAATTTTAATTAATTAAAATTTAAATGTAAAAACTGGCATTTGATTTGGGTACTGGTTGATTTTTTAAATGTTTGGAATTACTTAATTATGTAAATCTAGTTTTTCAAATGTAAATTGTATGATAGATGACTAATGTCTAAATGGTGATGTGTTGTAAGGTTAAAATGTACACTAGATTTCAACAACTTAATAAGATACCAAGAATGTAAAATATCTCATTAACAGTAGTTATATTAATTACAGGTTAAAGTGATATTTTAGGTATATTGGGATAAAATATATTTTATTAAAATTAATTTCACCTGTTTATGCTCTTCAATGTTGTTTCCAGACAACTGAAAATTGTGTATGTGGCCTATATTTTTTACACACCATTGGTCTGTCAGTTTTTTGTACTGTGATGGCTTGTGTATTGCCGGAAGCTATGCCACGGGTATTTTAAATACCAGCAGAATCACTCACAGTGGACAGGTTGCAGCAAAACTTCCAGATTGAGACAGACTAGGAAGAAGGCGAGGCAGACCATTTCTGAGTGGTTAGCCACTGAAAACCTTACAAAAAGCAGCAGAATACTGTTAAATATAGTCCTAGAAGATGAGCCCCTCAGATTGCAAGTCACTCAAAATATGATTGGGAAAGAGCTGCCTTTGCAAAGTAGAGTTGACCTTACTGAAGTGGATGGAGCAGAACTTTCAAAACCTTCATTTGCTGGTGAGGCACAACTCAAAAAACATTAATAATTAGAATATGAAATGTATGAAATAGAAATCTAGGAAAATTAGAAGATGTAAAAAATGAAATGGAAAGCGTACAGATCAATAGCCTAGGCATTAGTGAGCTGAAACAGACTGGCAGTTACCATTTTGAATTAAACAATTATATGGTTGACTATGCCAGGAGCAACAGACTGAAGAGGAATGGCATCACACTGTCAAAAAGAATATTTAAAGGTTTATCTTGAAGCACAATGCTGCCTGCGATAGAATATTATCCATACGCCTACATGTAAGATCAGTTAATGCCACTGTTATTCAAATTTATGCACCAACCACTAAAGCCAGTGATGATGAAATTGAAGAATTCTACCAACTTTTTCAGTATGCAATTGATCAAATATGTAATCAAGATGCATTGTTAATTAATGGTGATTGGAATGCAAAACTTGGAAACAGAGAAGGATCAGTAGTTGGAGAATATGGCCTTAGTGATAAAAATATACTGGAGATTGCACGATAGAATATTGCAAGACTGGGATTTTAGTCATTGCAAATATTTTTTTCCAACAACATAAATGATGACTATACACATGGACCTCATCAGATGAAATACACGGGAACCAAACTGACTACATCTGAGGGAAGAGAAGATAGAAAAGCTCAGGATCATCAGCCAAAACATGGTTTGGACTAACTGTGGAACAAACCATTGATTGCTCAATCAGCTGAAGCTGAAGATAATTAAAACAAGTCCATGAGAGCCAAAATATGACTTTGAATACATCCTACCTGAATTTAGAGGCCATCTCAAGAACAGATTTAATGTATTACACACTAATGACTGAAGACCAACAGAGTTTTGGGATGACATCAAGAACATCATACAGGAAAAGAAAGCAAAAGGTCATTAAGAAGACAAGAAAGAAGGAAAGAATCAAAATGGATGTCAGTAGTGACTTTGAAACTTGCTTTTAAACATGTTGTTGTTGTTATTAAGTGCCGTCGAGTCGGTTCTGACCCATAGCAACCCTGTACAGGATTTCCTAGGCTGTAAATCTTTACGGAGCAGAAAGTCTCATCTATCTCCTGCAGAGTGGCTGGTAGTTTTGAACTGCTGACCTTAAGGTTCACAGCCCGATTCGTAACCACTATGCTACCAGAGCTCCTTTGCTTTTAAACACAGAGAAGTTAAAACATCTGGAAGACATGAGGAAGTAAAATAGCTGAACAGAAAATTTCAAAGAAGTAATATAATGAAACAAAGTAAAGTAATATAATGAAACATAAGAAAACCTGAAGTTAAAAAAACAAAAGGGAAGAACTTGCTCAGTATTTCTCAAACTGAAAGAACTGAAGAGCAAACTCAAGCCTTGGGTTGCAATATTGAAGGATTCTATGGGCAAAATGGGTCCTGGTGTGGGACTCTAGAATAAGCACTGCACTGGTAACTGAAAGGTTGGCTGTTTACACCCACCAGTCACTCTCAGAAACCCTATTCAGGGTTACTATGAGTCAGAACCGACTCTTTGGAACACAACATGGACAAAATATTAAATGATGCAGGAAGCATCAAAAGAAGATGAAAGCAATATAGAGTCACTGTAACAAAAAGAATTGGTCAATGCTCAACCATTTCAAGAAGTAGCATGTGGGGAAGGAGTCTTCACATTCAAAATGAATCCTATCCCCTCTGTATACAGGGTTAATAGGACAGACAACTTAGGCATTGGCTAAGGGAGGGGCTATAGGCACTAAGTGACCGGCTTACACGTTTTCATGAGGGAGTTTAGTTTCATAGTATGTGGGGGAAGGTAGAATCCCCACTGAATAGTTTTCATCTTGTCCAGATGGGTCTGGTGAAAGGAGATGTGGATAAGATTCTTATGTTTCAATAGTGAGTAATTATTAACATGACTAATTGCAACTATCACAACTGTAAAGGTAGAACTTTTGTAACAAAAAGAGGGGAGTGGTTAATCTTGCAGTCAGTCCAGGAACAGAGTTCTACAACCACTGAGGGAGATAAGCACGATCAGAATGTTGGACTCTATCCAGAGAAGCAGTGACACCAGAGATGGAGGCAGAGATGATGATGGAGAGAAGGAGCAGCTGAGGACTCTAGACTCAGAGAAAGGCTGTGTGCTGGTGGCCAGAAGGCAGGCTTGCAGAATGTGTGCATCACCATTCCCTTCCCTTCCCACCAAAAAAAAACAAGGAATAGAAGTAAATACTGTTGAATGGTGATGCACGGAGGAGACTGTAATCATTGCAATGAAATAATGAGTATAAAACCAATGTTCTCCCATATAAACTATCACTCAATTCACAACAACAACTTTAAATGAAATAAACAAACAAAAAGAAGATCAAGAACCAATGTTATTCATGCTCAAGGAGAGGAAGACTGAAAATGTCAACACTATAAGAAGTGATCTATACATACAAAACAATCCCAATCCAGATTCAAATATCATTGTTTAAAGAGATGGAGAAAATGATCACTAACTTTATATGTTAAGGAAAGAGATCTTGGATAAACAAAGCAATCCCTAAGGGTAAGAACAAAGTGGAGGCCTCTCTCTTCCTGATTTCAAAATTTACTACACAGCCACAGTGGTCAAAACAGCCTGGAACTGGTACAATGAAAGATACACAGATCAGTGGAACAGAATTGAGAACCCAGAAGTAAATGTATCCACATAGAGTCAGCTGACCTTTTAAAAATGGGCCAAAACTTATTAAATGTGGAAAAAATAGTCTCTTCAACAAATGGGGTGCTGGCAAAGCTGGAAAACTATTTGAAGAAGAATGAAACAAGACCCATATCTAACACCATATATAAAAACAAACTCAATGTGGATTAAAGACCTAAATGTAAAACTTAGGACTATAAAGATGATCTATAAAAAAAAAAATAGGGGCTCTAATACATGGCATAAATATACTACCAAACATTACTAAAAATACACAAATAGCAGAAGGCAAAATATATGACTGGAGCATCCTAGACATTAGACACTTAAGTGCATCAAGAGATTTTGCTAAAAAGAGTAAAAAGGGAGCCAAAAGACTGGGAAAAAAATTTTGCAACAACATATCAGACAAGGGACTGACATCTAAAATTTATAGAAAACTATAACACCTCTACATGAAAAAGACAAACAACCCTATTAAAAATGGGCACAGGACATGAACAGACATTTAACCAAAGAAGACAGTCAGGCAGCCAACAAATATATGAAGAAATGTTCACCATCATTAGCCATTAATCAAGTGCTATCGAGTCGGTTCTGACTCATAACGACCCTATATAGGGTTTCTGAGGAGCAGCTGGTGGGTTTGAACTGATGACCTTGTGGTTCACAGTCCAGTACTGATCCTACAGTGCCACACCAGAAGCCATTAGAGATATACAAATCAAAATAATAATAAGTTATCATCTCACACCAACATTAACAGTGAGCCCCCAAAACACAGAAAACAAATGCCGGCGAGGGTGCTGAAAGCCTGGTTGGACTGTAAAATGGTTCAACCACTCAGGAAAATGCTATGGCGGTTCCTCAGAAAGATGTAAATACAAATATTGTATGACCAAGCAATCCTTCTACTTGGTATATATCCACAAGAAATAAGAGCCAGAACATGAGTAGATATATGTTCACCAATGTTCATCACTATTCACAATAGCAAAAAGATGGAGACAGCCTAAATGCGGGATCAATGGAAGAATGGATACACACAATGGAATAATACGCAATGTTTATGAATAACAAATCTGAAAACACTTCATTTAATATGGATGAACTTGGAGGACATTGTACTGAGTGAAATAAGTCATTCACAAAGGACAAATATTGTATGAGATCACTATTGTAAAAACTCAAGGAAAGGTTTTCAGACTAAAAGACACATTCTTTGATGGTTACTTGGGTTGGGAAGGAAGGAAAATTAATTCATTGGCTAAAGGGCAGACACATGTTAACTAGGTTGATGGGGAGGGCAATATACAAGAAGAGGGAGGTTGGCACAATGATGAAGATAGGTGAAGACACAGGGAGGTATGCAAGGGCTAAGGAGGACAGAGGTAAATAGTGATACATATAGAACCTTGGAACAATAGTGTTCTGTGTGTTGATACATGGACAGAGACACAGGCTGAAAGAGTATGGGAGGAAGAGTGGGGTATATAGGAGTGTGGCACTGTGGGTTAATGCACCAGACTGCAAAGCTGTTTGAACTGAAAGGTCGGCAGTTCAAGCTCACCAGCTGCTCCTTGGAAACCCTATACGGGTCGCTATGGTCAGAACTGACTTGATGGCACTTAACAACAACAACATCTCACAAATATGTAACAGTTTAAAAGAGGGTATCTGTATCTGGGTAGCCATAGGGAAGAAGTGAGATAACTGTTGTTGCACAGAGGGTACTGAAACCAGTGAGATGAAACAAAGTGTATGATTGGTTGAGTATAAAACAGATGGTCTTGTCTATAAACCTTCACTCAATTCATAATAAAATTTTATAAAGGAAAAAGAACCAATTGTATTGAAGGAATAAATTTAATCTGCACTGAAAGCACTGGTAAAAAACAAGGCTCTAGGATTTGAATTTGTTGTTAAGTGCCATTGAGGTCGATTCCAACCCATAGCAGTCTGGCGCATTAACCCACAGTGCCAAGATGGCTAAGCTTCGTCTCTCATACTTTGGACATATTGTCCAGAGGGAACAGTCACTGGAGAAGGATGTCATGCTGGGTAAGGTGGAGGGTCAGAGAAAAAGAGGAAGACCCCTAACGAGATGGATTGGCCAGGTGGCATCATTGATGGACTCAAGTGTGGCAGCGGTAGTGAGGTTGGCCCAGGATCGGACATTGTTTCGTTCTGCTGTGCATGGGGTCACTATGAGTCGGTTCAGACTCAATGGCACCTGACAACAACAACAACAAGGATTTGAAGGTATACAAATCGAAATGTTTCAACAAAATGATACACTGTTGGAGGTGCTCATCAATGAAATTTGGAAGACAGCTACCTGGCCAACCAACTTGAAGAAACCTATATTTGCACCCATCCCAAAGAAAGATGATCTAGCAGAATGTGGAAATCATCTAAAAATATCATTAACATCACATGCAGGAAAAATTTTTCTCAAAAATTTTTAAAAATTAAAAAAATGGCTGCAGTAGTACATTGACAGGGAGCTGCCACAAATTCAAGATGGATACAGACGAGGACATAGAACGAACTATATCACTGCTGATGTCAGATGGAGCTTAGCTAAAAGCAGAGAATACCAGAAAAACGTATACTTGTGTTTTATTTACACTGCAAAGTTATTTGACTGTGTAAATCCTAGCAAACTATGGAAAACATTGTGAAGAATGGGTATTCCAGAACATTTATTTGTACTCATGAGGAACCAGTACATAGATCAAGAGGCAGTTGTTCAAACAGAACAAGGGGATACTGAATAGTTTATAATAAAGTTCTGTGCTAGGTAGGGTTGTACTCTTTCACAATACAACTTCAATCTTTATGCTGAGCAAATAATCCAAGAAAATGGATTATATGAAGAAGAATGTGGCTTCAGGATTGGAGGAAGTTTCATTAACAACCTGAGATATGCAGATAACACAAATGTGCTTCCTGGAAGTGAAGAGGGCTTAACATAACTTCTAATGAATATCAAAGACCACAGCTTTTGGTATGGGTTGCACCTCAGTGTAAAGAAAACAAAAATCCTCACAACTGGACCAATAAACATCATGATAAATGGAGAGATGAAGTTGTCAAAGATTTCAATTTGCTTGGATCTACCATCAACATTCAAGGAGCTCTGGTAGCTCAGTGGTTAAAAGTCAGGCTACTAACCTCATGGTCAGCAGTTTGAAACTACCAGCTGTTCCGCGGGAGAAAGATGAGGCTTTCTGCTCCTCTTTTACAGCCTCTGAAACCTTATGCAGGGTCACTATGAGTTGGAACCAACTCCACGGCACACTACCACCGCCACCACCAACAACATTCATAGAAGCAGCAGTCAAGATCTCAAACTGACTTACTACATTAGGCAAATCTGCTGAACAAGTCCTCTTTAAAGTGTTCAAGGGCAAAGATGTCAGTTTGAGGACTAAGCTGCACCTGACCCACATCTATGCATGTGAAATTTGGACAATGAATAAGTATGATTGCAAAAGAATCAATGCATTTGAATTATGAATATAATTCAATTTGCATTATGAATATAATTCAAAGAATACTGAAAATACCATGGACTGCTAGAACAAAGAAATCTGTGTTGGAAGAATTACAGCCAGAATGCTTCTCAGAAGCCAGGATGGCAAGGCTTCATCTCTTGTACTTCACACGTATTGTTAAGAGGGATCAATCCCTGGAGAAGGATATCATACTTGGTAAAGTGGAGGGTCAGCATAAAAAAGGAAGACCCTTAATGAGATGGATTGCCACAGTGTCAACAACATGGTCTCAAGCATAACAATTGTGAGGATGATGTAGGACTGGGGAGTTGTGCATAGGGTCACTATGAGTTGCAACCCACTCAATGACACCACCACCACCGGTAATACTTTTTACAGGCCAGGGTTTTAACACCTAGAGATGGCATAGAGGGTTGTCCCTTGCCTCCTCTCTCTACAGAGGGCCCTCCTAGAACCCAGGCTGGTCAACCCAAATTAAGTCCCTTCTGCTCTGTGTTCACTTACACTTCTCTACCCCCAGGGCTAGTACTGAAAGTACTGAAAGTACCCAGTACTGCTCTTTCAGGGGCTAGGGAAGCAGCTAGAGCAAACCAGTAAGAAAGCTCTGTGAGGACACCCATCTCCCTCATTACCACCAAATCCTTAATTATAGGATTGTAAACCTCCAGAGCAGTAGGAGGCCAATTGGCATGTCTAATGTTATTTCACAAATGAGGAAACAGACTCAGCACAGGTCTGGGTCACAGGCTGAAACTCAAACTCCCAGTTTCCTGAGACCTCTGGCCCTGCCCATCTCCTCTCCCAGCTAGGCATACCTGTCTCCTGTACACTCTAGCTCCTTGTTTCTAGTAGCTGGCCTAGGGTTGATGGCATCTATGGCAGAGAGAGAGGAGACATGTATGGCATCCCACCAATGGGCCCACCTTCTACCTGCTGTAGGGCACGAGGGAGGATCCCCCGGTGCTTGTAATTCTCAGTTGCCCCCGTCATGGTGTATGTCTTGCCGGCTCCCGTCTGCCCATAACACATGATGGTGCCTGCAAACATTCCAAAACATACCTCGGTGACATCCAGGAAAATAGCTTCAACAACAGCTCTCCCATGCCCCAGGATGCTGTCTCTTACAGGACTAGTGCACACACACTGCCAGCTAGAGGACACTGGCTTGAAAGTGACCTTTGAGAACAGCCAAGAGCACCAGGGATTCCTGCTGTGATGGGAGGAGAATGGGTAAGGGAACGGTAAGATAAATGAAGAGTCAAAACATGTGCAACTGCTGTGAATCTGCAGCCCACTTTGTTCTACTGTTCCCATCACCTAAGGAGGAAATGGCTCTAGTGCTTCTGAGGATGGTAGGGAACCTTAGGAAACAGAACTGTTACTTTTCCTAGAAAGGAGAGAGACCAGAGCAGAGGACTCTAGTGAAGGCCATAAACTGCCAGAATTGGGCCTCCCTGTGGGACTGGTCAAACAGGAGGCATCAGTTTCCCCACAGAGGCAAGAGGGTCTTTTGAAATTCCCAAAAAGAGATGGAGCAATCAAGGCATAGTTTGTCGATGGTGAAAATTATCTGCAGGTTGCAAGCTCCCATAGAACCAAGTAGCATTGCTGGTTGGTCCCATGTAACTTCTAGAAATAGGACCATCCCAACCGGCCCTGATCTGGTCCCATTTCACTTCTACCTCTCACATCTTTGATTCTGTCATTGCTACCAGCACCAGGACATAAACCATGCAGTTATTTTTCCCACCTGCTCTTCTTCCTGTCTTGAGCATCTTGAGCCAGGCCCCAAACTGAAGGCTGTGTCTGGATATTTACCCAGTAGACCTGTTCAGACAGTGCTGGGCATGGGGAATTCATGCTATGGAATGCCACATGGATAATCTATTTTTAGGGATTGGAAGATTTTATACAAGGAAAACAAACATCAGCATCTGAGTTGGGGCCTGAAGCAGTGTTTATTTACAAATGAGCAGGAAGGAGTCACTTCAGCTGAAGGCAGCCCCTAATGGACTCAGAGCTCGTTCAGTTGCTCAGTGCCTTGTGCCCAAGACTCTTAACCTCCCTAGACCTCCACCTCATCAGAGAGTCATGAAAACAAATAAGAACATCCTTGGGTCAATGGGACCACACCTATGAATCATCTGTGGGATAAATCACAGTGTTTGGACAGCCATACTCAAGAGGTTTTTAAACAGAAGACCTAAAACTTGGCTTGGCAATTTAAAATAGAGACATTGAGACAGCAGCCACCAGATGGGCAAAGTCTACAAACTGTGATGTATTCTTTTAAGGACAATTTCTTTCAAAATAAATCTTAGATTGAAAAAAATTTAGAAGACATTTCCCAATATTATTCTTAATCTGTTAAAGGCAAATGTTACTCAAGTTTTTACTGATAGATTCTAAAATTCTATACTAGTATATGAAAAGTAGATTGACTATGCTGATAGAAAACAGCATTTAGTAAAGAAACAAACAGCATTTAGTAGTTTTTGTTGCTGTTAGATGCCATCGAGTAGTAGCTGAGAAAAAAATGGTCGTATCCCATCAAATTCATCATAAAAGTGCATTTTCAAAACTAATACTTGAGGGATTTAAAGCAAGTTACTACTAGTTGAACCTCATGACCTACAGCAAAGTGGGTTCCCTTAATCTTCCTATGAAGGTAGGATCCCAGGACATTGAATCAAACCATGCCCACAGTCTCATGAAGCAAATAGTACTCCACTGTAAGAACATGGAGACAGACAAGTAAGCAAACAAATGTTAGTAAATAAAGTTGTATTTTATTTTATTCACCACAGAATGTTTGGCACCTCTTCCTCTTGGAGGGGTTCTGCAGGTTCTTACATAAAGCAACAGTTAATTAACTAAATTACCATTATAGCCATCAAGGGCCTGAGAAACCACTTCCTTTGCGACTGTCTCATAAACTACGTCCTGGGAAGCATCATGGAGAACTCCATCTAGTTTGAATGACCAGTCTGTCTGCTGGTTATTGACAACTCCTTTCCGAATATCTTTTTTTAAGTGAATGTCAATGCTCTAGGAAGAGAGAGAGAAAAGATGTTATTTTTTTAAGAAACTGATTTTTAAAACTCACTGATAGCTTAAGTACCAAGGCAAGATGGCAGAGTATTCAGATGCACTGAGCTGACCCTCTGCAACAAAGACATGGAGACTGAGTGAAACACATCCTGACAGTTACTCTGGAGCCCTGAGCAACAGAAGACAGGAGAGAGAGGTGGACTGAGTGCCGACTGGAAGAGGAAGCTGAACAGGAGCAGTGAGAGAGAAGAAAACTGGGTGGACTGTGGACTGTGGGCAGGGGTGGAGCAGTTCAGATGTCTTGAATTTTCTGCTAGAACTGTAGATACAGCGGCCTATGGGCACAGGATATGGCTTGAGGTTATATGGGGCACAGTTCTCCCTTGTTCACATGCCCTTCTCTGTGCCAGTCCCAGCCTTCATCAACCAACAGCCGGTGGCACCGCCTCCTGTACAGCCTTTGCTCTACCTGCTTCTGGAGGTGCGTGAGCCTGCCCTGAGCTATGCTACATGGTGAACACAAAACGGCACTCACCTTTCTAGTCTCAATCATAGCCACCGGAGACAGGTGGTGAGTGCCTGAGAACACACCAATGTACAACCATCAATTAAATATAAACATGTCACCACAAAGTCTCAGAGAAAACAGACAATTTCAGCTTCCACAAAGAGACAAGTGATCAAGATAGAGAGTATAGGAACTACCTGATAAGAAATTTAAAACAATGCTAACAAATTGAGAGAATGATCAAGAAAACTACAGGTGAAATAAAGGAAAACATACACAAAACTATAGAAAAATTCAAGAAACAAACTGACAAAATGGGGGGGGGGGGAAGGAACCATACAAAAACAGTTAATTAGAAAGCCAGAAGACTAACACTAAGACTTCAGAAATAGATAATACAATGAAAGAGCAAAGAAGAACTGAATCAGTGGAAGGCTGAATTACTAAGCTTGAAAAAAAAACTCTCAATATTCATCTGCTACAAGAACAAATGGCGCTGTGGGTTAATGTGCTGGACTGCAAAGTCGGTTTGAATCACAAGGTCAGCGGTTCAAGCTCACCGGCAGCTCCTGGGAACTCTACACAGGATCGCTATGGGTCACAATTGACTCCACAGCACTTATAACAACGACGACAACAGGTACAATCAGAAAAAATAATAAAATAATCCAAAGAAAGTCTAAGATTTATGTTATGTGGGGCACTGTTAAGTGTGATTGGAATTTGCGAGCAGCAAAAGACAAAAAACCCATAGAGAATACTGTCCAAGAGTTATTACCTAACATTATGAAAGACAAGAAGAGAGCCATTCAAGAAGCTGAACACATACCAAACAGGATAGACCAAAAATAAAAACAAGATAGACAAAGAAAGACTCCTGAGAGTAGCCCAGGAAAAACAAAGTTCTCTATGAAAGAGAACTAATAGGATTAAGCACTGATTTCTCCGCAGAAACCATGCAGGCAAGACAATGGAACGACAAAGGAATGGGCTAGGGCTCATTCCTGAAAGAAACAAATTGTCAGCCAAGAATCCTATATTCAGTAAAACTGCTCACTGAATATGATGGTGAAATTAGGTCATTTTCAGATACACAGAAATTATAAGAATTTGTAAAAACCAGATGAATCTTACCAAAAATACTAAAGGGAATTCTTTGGACAGAGAACCAACACCAGTAGGTAACTACTTGAGATTAACATGAATAGCAGTATCACTTAGACTCAACCCAGACATTGGTTGTTAAGTGCCATCGAGTCGGTTCCAACCCATAGGATTTCTGCAGGCTGGTAAGCAGACATAGAAGTATTCAAAGTAAAACAGACCTATAAGACTGAAAATAAAGAACCAGAGATATAGTTGCAACAACAACAACAAAAAACCCATAAAGTTAAATAGAAAAATGAAGAGAAAATTTAATAGATTCCAAGAAAAAAATAAACCTAACTGTAATCTTAAAACTAGACCAGGCATTATTCCTAGCCCTAGCGCAACCTTTACCGTTAACACTAACCCGAATCCTACTTGTAAACCTAACAATAAATGAAGTCGTAGGCTTACCCTTGACCTAGTCATAGTTCCAACCCTAACTCTCACTCCTAACCAAACCCCCTCACACACAGACACACACAATAACCTATAGCTGAGGCCTGACTCATAGGAAGCACAGGGGACTCCTACATGTGGCTTGTATTTCAAGTGAAATTTTTGGGATTTGTCTGTCTTTGTTCCCCTTGCTCAGGATATAGGGTCAAGGAAATTCATCATTTCTTACTGAACAAGGATTAGACATACTCACTTAGCACAGGAAGGCCTAGAAGTAGGCTGCAGAGGACCGTGCATTGGAGCTCCAGCTCTCTGGTTACTGACAGCGAGCCCTCTCCCAGCTGTGCACCACCTGCTTCGTGCACATACAATAATAGCCAGAGAAAATTCTCTGCATTTCTCAGCAGTTACGCACTGTATTAGAGTAAATAAAGAGTGCCGGAACCGACTCGACAGCACTTCACAACAACAACAACAACCTGTTTGTTAATCAGTGCATTTTCAGATGCATGCCCCTCAGTTAGCCAGTATTTGACAGCTGGCTTAGGGATTTGCTTGGTAAGGTCAATGCGGACATCTACTGTAAATAAACTCTTCTACTGGCTGCCCTAACACAGGAGCTAAGACCTGGTCATACACAGAGAAGTTAAGACTCAGAAAAAGGGTTCAGGTCCACTTACACATTAGATGCTTTGTGTTTCTGGAAACCACGACCAGGAGTGCTGCACTGAATGTTTTCTGATAGCCTTGGGGCTTTAACAACTTGTCCTAAAATTCGTCCTTTAAAGTCTGCTTCAGCACTGTTGACAGGAGGCTGAATGTAAACATCTAACATTCTCCTGTTATGTTATGCTGTCCTAAGTCTGTCAGAGGTTTCAGAACACCTCAGCACAGGAATGATAAATCTTTCTACTTCTCTTGGTAAGAAATTTCTTCACTCTTTGGTAGGTTTAACAGAGACCAACCTAACACATTCTGACTGTGCCCCTGTGGGAGGTTATGTAAATAGCAGATCTGTTCACTAGAAAGTTTTCTAAAAGTGACACTTGTACATGTTGTCAGTTTTTCTGACTCAATTATATATATATAT